AAGACAAGACTGGAAAACAGGGGAACAATTGCGAGCAACCCTAAGATATTGCCACCACGTTGAGGAAGCTCTAGAAAATCTTACTGAAACCATCTCACTAAAGTGATACCGAATCCTCAAACGGCCCCTCCTTGAGAGAAGGTGATTGGGTAACAAGCTCAGAGACCCCGTTGAGGGTTGGCCTGATACATATGGTGTCGCCCCAAACTGTCTTAGTTGAGTCCTATGGCATCACCAGTACAGGCACCCTCCAAGGGAGTAGAGATCACTTGGAATGGAGGGACAGAGTATCAATGCACCGAGTAAGGGTTATCGAAGAAAAAAGACTGAAGGTGGCGTTCCAGCCAGACAAACCAATCCTGGAGCTGGCTTTGGACCCAGTGGAATGGGTCTGGCAATCCCCCCCAAAAGAGGGGTCCCCCCGGGACAAGCCACATTAGTCTGCACCAGTTGTCGGTCAAATCAGTCTATAAAATGCTTAGACCTAAACGGCGTCTAAGGGACACAATTAATGATCGATGGGCCGGACAATTGAATGTGGATCGGGCTCTCCCGACTCCAATCCAACGGTTTAAAGAACAAAAGTACAAGCCCATGAAAATGACCTCCCTGCAGTGGAAGATAGCCCACCGCTGCCTGCCAACCAACGACTGGTTAATACAAACCTTGAACAAAAAGGCCTGTTGCTTCCATGGTGCCAACGATGTCAAAGTCTCTTCCCCTTCCACGAGAAGGCAGAAACCATTGAACATATTTTCATGCAGTGTCCAACTGCCCAATACATATGGAGGTGGTGGACCGCATATGGCAGAAAATGGAACCAGACATCCCCTGGCCCTGGTGATGGCAAACCATTTGGCAGGACGCTGGTTGCCGGCAGGAACAGCTTCGAGCTTTGATGGGAACATGTACAGACTAGGAAGGAGGGCAGTGATATGGGCAATATGGTGGCAAAGATGCACCCTGGCTATGGAAAAGGTACGGGTGGAGGGCGCAGAAATTACTGAACAGATTCAACAGCAAATACACCTTGAGCTCACACGTAGATGGTTGGACACAAAAGTGCAATTAGACCAGTTCAGGCAAATGGGCGATGTCAGGAGATGAATCACAACTTTTTGCACTGACTGGGTAGGAAGGGAAAGGGAGGGATGGATTGCAAAAAAAAAGAGCGGAGATCAGGGAAGAAGGGCTGAGAGAGTTAGATAGAATAAGAGATTACCGCTTAGTTTTCAAAGATTGGACTAGCATAGAACCCTCATTCCCATTATGCCCTCCCTCGGATTTCCCAGATCCCTTCCCACCCCACGGGCTGTCACTGGCAGAAGTGTTGCTATAAATGTGCTCCATGGCCTTCACAATCCTCCCTGGAGCCCCCTGGGGAGGACCTCGCTCATTCTATGTTCCTTTGCCCTTAGCTGGAGCTGTTAACCAGCTACCTGAGTAACTCGAGCATGGAGTGAGCAGCAGCCTTGGTACCAGTTTTGAGTAAAGAGACACGGAAGAGATACGGAAGGCAATGGTGGAACTCAAGCTTCAAATCGACTACACTACAACCTACTGGCTGCTGGATGCTGGACGCGATCTCCAGCAGGTGATGCTTTCCAAAAAAAACTAAGGAAGTGGTACAGGTCTGCTCAGTCGATCCCCTGTGTAGCAGGAAACAGATGTAGCAGCAGATATCTGGTGCTGGTTTTAGGGTGAAGATTTCCTTTTTTTCCTCGGTTTTTTTACTCAGCTTTTTCAAGGAGGGTGGGCCGAACTAGTTCTTTAGCAGTAGATATCCGGCGCCTGGTACTGGGGCGAAGAGGTTCTCTCCCCTCCCTTAGCAAACCTGCACAGTCAATCCTCTGGTTGCCAGAGTAATCAATGCTGGCAGGGTTCACAGCTATCTCCTCTTGATTCAGCCTGTATTCATTCTGTTTTTCAACCTGTAATGGGACGCTGGACCTGTTTTCCAGCAGATGATGCTCCCCACCAATAGATGGAGCCCCTCCCCGGGTGCTAATGGTGTCTGCTCTTATCAGCACCACTAGCATTGCAGGGGGGCGCGCTTAAAAAAAAAAAAAAAAGAGAAGGATGACACGCATAAATCGAGAAATGGTCCAAATTTTTAAAAGAATAGAAGAAGAAGAACGAATCTGTTAGAACCAGAGAGTCCGACACCAGAAAACAATAAATCTGCCACAACCAGAGAGAAAAACAACCGAAAAACAACAATTCTGTGACAACCAGAGAAAAACAATGACGTAGGCCTTAAAAGCGCCTGTCGCCATGACCTGCCGGTCAACAAGGGGCTGCGGAACGGCTCAGGGTGCCCACCGGAAAAAGGCCAGCAGTGCCACGAAAGTTGCACACTGCGACAGTCCGGATCCCTTAGGGGCAGGCAAAAATCCAATTGAGTAAAACAGGCTTGGAACGTCTGGCGGTGTAAGGATCTGGCTATTTTGTCATAAGAACTGCTTGGGTTATTGCAAGTGCAGCACAAACATAGCGCCTATGGGGCAGTAAACGTCCGTTGCCATCCCAGCTTTCAAATAAACATCCACCTTAAATCGGCACGGTGGGAAGGCTTTGGAGTGTGTGTCCGGAAAAGGCTGCCAGTGCCAGGCAAATCACACGCTGCGGTCAATCGGATTTCTTAGGTGTGGCCAAAAATCCACAGTAGGGAAAAGAAGCTGGGAGCCACTGGCGGTTTAAACCACTAGTACACCGCCCCAGCCTTGCAGTCCAAAACTCGTCGCACAAGAAAACGAGGCCGAAACATCAAACGCTGGGCCCATCATTGATAAATTCAATCGGCGGTCACATTTTCGTTTTGCACCTCCTGAATTTGTGGTGTCAGACCCTCGGCCCAGGTGCCCATAAGGCTCTGGCAAATGGTCACCACATGGTACACCAGCCTATGTCTTTGCGGTACCCCCCGGGGTTCACGCTTCTTTGCCCTCCGATCGTGGGGGTCACACTTGTTTGAAGTCCTGGGGGTCACACTTCTTTGAAGTCCTTGGGGTCACGGTTCTTTGAAGTCCTGGGCGTCACGCTTCTTTGAAGTCCTGGGGGTCATGCTTCTTTGTTTTTTTTTTTTTGAAGAATAGCCCATTGTGCAAGCCCTCTATCCCGGAAGTGGTGAGATAACCACCAGGATTGAGGGCTTCCTCTGATAGTTCTTCTTCATATAGACCGCCTATGTCTCTGAGGTAGCCCCAGGGTGGATTTCCTGACCCTGTTTTCCATTGCTCACAATGGGCCCTTGAGACTCTTGCCAATCAGACGAAGACCAGATGCCGCACCACGTAGCTTTACTTGTGAATTTTCTGTCATCTCAGTGCCAAGTCTTTGGGTGCTACTTCTTCCTCGTCCCTAATATCTTGATATGGTTTGCCGCTGTTAACCAAGTTAGGGCCCCCTTACCAACGGGCCTAGTTCAGTCGGTACATCCATTGACTGTTGAAATGCAGACCCAAGTCCGAAACCCACTCGATGCAGACGAGTAGAATAACTCAGAATTTACCACGGTCCGGTCATTTCGAACATATCTAAAGGCCACTGCGCTTTCAAGAAAAGGAAGTTACCGGCCTCATCCATTGACTGTTGCAATACACAAAAAGCCCAATGGATGTGGATGAGTACAGGAACTCAGAATTTACCAGGGTTTCGTCAGTTCGAAGACATTTGAAGGCCGCTTCCCTTTTAAGAAAAGCAAGGTACCCCTCTGAGATCTGGATGGATCTCCTTACCCTGTTACTCACAATGGGGCCCCAAGGCTCTGGGCAATCAGATAAACAACACACGGTACACTGACTGGCTGGCATGATTCCTGTCATTTGTCTTCGAGTCTTTGTGTCCTACTTCACCCTCGCGTTGTGCTCCTTTCCTTTGAATCGCGTTTATGGACTCCTCTTGCTAATCCTCGTTTGCAATTTCCCTCGGCTACTGTAGCGTTCATCTCTTCCCTGAGTGTAACTTTCACCATATAACTTATGTCCTTGCACTGTACCTCGGGTCATTTATTTGGAAAGCTCATCCTCCTGGCCTTGTCCCCCTCCTTGTACCCCCTTTCTTTGCCAGTGTTGCCACCCTCCTTGTTGACGTCCTCTTCTCTGCTTTTTTTCAGCAAAATTTGCAGCCTCCTGTCATTTGCTTTCTGGTGGAACTCTTACTGAGTGACATCAACCTCCTCCTTTTCGCTCCTCTAGCCTCACCACTGTTTGTCAGAGACCTCCTCAGCCTCTTCTTCACTTCAGTGTACTCATGTGCACAACTGCTACCCAGATGTCCTGATCCTGGGTCCATGTTCTAAGTCCGCATGTCTTCTCACCTTGGCGCGATCGGTCTCCTTCACCGTTTCCACCCTGCTAAAGAAGAGAAGGCAGTGGTGCTGTATGCCATACAGACCCAGAAAGATCTGGTAGGCAGGCACACACACACACACACACACACACGCACACACACACACACGCACACACACACACAGACGCACACACGCACACACACACATACACACACACACACACACGCACACAAAGCACACACACACACATGTACATGTTTCTGAGCCCCCTGGTAATGCAGTACAGATTGCAATGTCATGGTGACAGGCGACCTGTTCCAGTTCATGCCCTAAGAAGTGTGAAGCTAATGTAGCACAGCCATCGCACTCCCTTGACAGTCCTCGTCGTCAACCCCATGTGGAGGCCATTGGTGCCAAGCCATTTCAACTATTGTAGTCCTCAGCAACTGCTCACCCTGCGCGTACTGTCTATCCAAAAAATATTTCTTCCCTATGAACTGCTTCACTTGCATCTTTTCAAGAACAGTAGTTCAGTTGCAATTTGCAACTGAACTAGTTCGTTCACAAACAATCCCAAGATTACGGTTCGTTCGCGAACTCTTCCTTTCCCCCGGCACACCCACAAACTCGCTTAGCAATGAAACATCACCAACAGTTACTCCCTCTCCTGTCTTGTTACTCTGTCACCAGTGTGCAGAAGAACAAATTTCCAGCTTTGTAACCTTTGTTGTCTGTTTTACCAGTTTGCTGCCCCTGTCATGCCACTGCCTTTCACAATTATTCTGCATGTCGCTTGACAATGTCTCTCCCTTCTTTCTCCTCACCTTATTTCCAAATCGGGAGTGCCCTTTTAACCGCCACGGCGTCTGCCGAACTCTGGAAAGATGACAGCCGGACGAAAGGTGCCTGCGAATAACTTCAGCGAATGGCTGGCTGGTCATCGGAGTGCAACGTGGACATGAAGGCTGAAGGTCTAGGTTCAGCAAAACCGGCTGGGGGCAGTGGCAGTTTCCAGATCCACAAGTTACTTGGTATAGAGACTTCCTCCTTCTAGAGACCCTGGCTGATACGGCAGTTGACCAGCAAATGCACACGGTGGCCCTGGTCCTGGCTTCTGCTGCTGGTTTCTCTGACTTGGTTTCTACCCCTACTGCTTGGAGACACAAGTCGCACACTGCTGTGACAGTAACCTCGCTGCTGCGATGAACTGCAAGGGAGAGCGCAGTGTGCACCATTGCATCAAACCGTCTCGAGATGAGGTATGGCTTTTCCAAAAATAGCCAGACCATTGAGACTTGTTAGACACTGAGGTCCTGAGGAATCGATGCAATAATCAGTTAAAAAAAACTAGTAGGTGTCAGCCAGACCAAGTATGTCCGCAAACCCAGAGGCGTCTATCTCTTGAGGCAGGTTCGCTGCACCCACCGGTCTTCCGGCCAGAGCGGTCAAACATGCATTCAACTCCTCTAAAGTCATTTGCTCGCCCTCCTCCAAGAGAGCCCTGATCAGCGAGTCCCTCGTCAGTTTTCCTCCCACAGTGTCTCCTCCTAGGTCCTCTAGAGCCTTCAAGATATCAGCCTTGGTTACCCCATTTACGGGCTTGTAGTTAATGAACAAAGACAAGAACTGGCTGAAGTCCAGGGACAGTAGATTAGCAGAAGGTATAAGATTAAGCCCTTGTCCGGGGCTACCTGGCATCAAAGTAGAAGGCACAGAAGTCTTACTGGATGATGTGCTGATGGTGGAGCCAGAGGGAGGGATCATCATTCGGGTTCCGACGCGTGAAGTGCCCTTCTTGAGGGGGTTCATCTTTCTCTGAATCTCTAGCTTGAGCTCAGTGATTTCGGCATCCGATGGGTAGTAGCCCAGCGCGCGCATTAAGTCGGGAATGTCGCTGACTTTGACCAGTCCAGTGATGTTCCTGTCTGCTGTGGTCTCTTCGCCTTGGCTGCGGATCTGTGTGCAGTAGAAGTAGTCCCGTATCTCCTGCAATATCTGGGCCTCATTCATCAGCCCACCGCCGACAGAGGAAAGGAGCATGCCAAACTTCCCAGGGCTGTTCTCTTTCAGCTCCAGCAATTGTTCGAATGCGGCCGTGTTGATCTTCCAGAGTTTGATCAGGCGATCGGCACCCCCTCCAGTCGCCATGTACAGCGAGTCCCAGGAGACCCCGATCGAGGTGAGAGGACCGGAGTGAGCAACGACAGCCATCGATTGGGTGGGATCGTCGTCCAAGGGAAGCCTTAGCAGACCTGCCACCCGTTCGCGGCAGCCAAAGGCCATGTAGAATTTGTTGCTCTGCGCGGTGTCCTTAGCGTTATTAGGGTCCTCGAACGGGTGCATGTAGGTGATGGGGCCGCCGTATGTTGGACCGAGGTGGGTGCGAACGTGCTTCATGTCGTCAATGGAAACGAGTCTGAGCCTATGGCTGCTGTCACTGATCAAAAGTGGCTTTTCATACGTAGGAGCAGAAGAAAAGGCAGATCTTCCTGCCGCTAGCGTCTTACTAAGAAATGGAGAAAACACCAGGCCTGCCGGCAAATCCAGGAGAGAGATTGGAACCGTTCCAAGTAGTTTCACTCCACCGGCAGTGGACGAACCCTCCAAATCATAGTCGACGACGATCCCATCTTCTCCCACGGAGAACAACCTGCAGTGGGTCCTGGAATCCATCGCAAATTGCAGACCCCTTATGGGCCCAGTATGGGACCGATACTTGCCCACATACTCCCACTTATCTCCCATTTTACCGTGGCCATAGATAAGGAGGGCAACGCACATGCCACCGTCTGCAGTTGCCATTCGCCAGCCATCCGCCGAGAAAGCTATGTACATTATGGGCGAAGGGGTGAATCTGAAACTCTGCACTTCTTCCAGGGACTCTAAGGAAAGCACCTTCAGGGCGCCATTTGAAAAGCCAGCTGCGAGCTTGTCAGCAAGCGGAGAGATGGCCACAGACGAGCCCCTTAGATTCACGAAGGTCTTCTCAGCCATCAGTGTCTTGTTCTGGTAATCGTACAGCTGTACAAGCCCTAAGCCGCCAATCATCGCAAACACCGGGCTGCTGGGATGCATGCAGATGCTAACGACCGACTCATGATAGCCTCTGATGATTACTTTCCCTTTCTTTGAGGCGGAACCCGGCATTTCATCAAAGTAGGCGCCTTTCATTGCCAGGATAGACCCCAATTCTGTGGCAACCAAAAAGTCTGGGACTTGGAACTGCAGGAAAGTGTCGTCGTCCTCCCGGGGAAGGCTGATTCCAAAAGATATGGAGGTTATGGGACCAGCATCCATCTCTTCAAACCAAGCCGTGAGCCTCAGTTTAGAGTCGTAGAAGCGGAGGTAGCCATCGGAACCACCGGTGACAATGTATCGAGCGACGCGAGCAAGCACGGTGATGGGACCGTTGTGGAGACGAAGAACCTTGGACGCATGTCGTTCTCGCACAAGAGGATTATCCTGTGGGACCATGGACGAAGATCGAGGGTCGTCCCAAAGTACCAAATCCCCCTCCATGGTACTCGAAACGGCCCGATAACCACCAGGGAGAAACACAGAGTGCAAGATCTGAGCAATTGATTGCTTGATGTGGCGAGTGATAACACGGGCCTCGCATTGGGCTACGATCCACTTGCGGATTTGCCCTCCATCACCACCTCCAGCTCTTCCTACTCCTCCGGCTCTTCCACCAACTCCACGATCCCTTGAACCTGGCTCCTCCTCGATACTCAGCTTCCAGAAGACTACCTTGCCGACGCCATTAGTGACAAATTCCATGGTTTGGTCGTGGTTGAACTCTATGGAAGTCTGCAAATCTTCGCCGCTGCATTTGATGTCCTCCAGCAGCAGAAGGTGTGCATTGATTACCCCCTCCACATCCTCCAATTGCCAGACCCCAAGTTGTTGCAGCTGGGTCCCCACCCCGGTGAAGCCCCCACCTGCACCCAACGTGACCAGTGTCTCCCCATCGGGAGAGATCTTAAGTCCCACCAATCCTATAGTGTGTCCGTGTGGAATGACCTGCAGAGCCTCCCCTCGGTCAACGCTCCAGATGACCAGCAAAGCGTTGACCCCGATGTCGGCGGTGGCCACTACAGTTTTGCCGGGATTTACACTTAAGCAGGTGATGGCGTCATGATGACCTTGAAGCACGATCTGCTGCCCGGTTGTCCTGTCATAGATGATTGCCACGTGGCCGCACACGTAACACAGAGCTGACCTCTCTGTGGTCGAAAGGTCAACGACGCCATTGATGACAGAAGAGGAGAAACCGAACACCCATTCCAGAGTCAAACACTTGGATGCCAGACTCTTCATGCGCTCCTGTTGGGCTGCTCGGAGCTCCTCCTCCTCCTCTTTCGTCCTCTCCCGGGGGACCTCGCTCTCTTCCACCAACTCCGCTGCCTCCTCCTCTTCTAACTCTCTAATAAACTCTTCTAGCACCAACTCCACCCCCTCATCCTCCTCCATGATTCCACACAATCAACCCGCTGCACAAACACGCAATAGGAAAAAAGAAGGGGCAGAACTAGAAAGCGGCAGCAGCAGCAGCAGGAACTCACGAAGAAGAAGAAGAAGAAGACCGAGCAGAAGAAGAAACACACTTGGCCTCACTGCAAGCTTTCTTCTTTATCTTTTTCTTCTTTTCCTTTTTCTTCCTTTTCTTTTTCTTCTTCTTCTTCTTCTTCTTCTTCCGGGAGGTAAGTTCAGTCACCGTGGATCGTGGGCGTGTGGTTTGCCCTTTGATAAGCAGCAGATGCTTTAACGATTTTTTATGCTGTTCACGGGCGCGGATTCTTATTATTATTATTATTATTATTATTATTATTATTATTATTCACTCAGGGTGGAACGACCGGTGGTCTTGGGTTAGCGGTTTGCCTCGTGGTAAGTGCTGGTGCGCAAACAGCCAAAACGTGCGCCTTCATGAGCTATGGTGATGTCCATGCCATGTGCTTGTCGTTTGTACGCGTAGATACCTGGCGATTGGCCTCCCTACATCTATTCTTCTTCTTCTTCTTCTTCTTCTTCTTCTTCTTCTTCTTCGTCTTCTTCTCCTTTTCTTCTCCTTTTCTTCTTCTGTATAAGCTTGTTACTTCTTCTTCTTCTTCTTCTTCTTCTTCTTCTTTTCTTCTTCTGTATAAGCTTGTTAGTATATCTTCTTCTTCTTCTTCTTCTTCTTCTTCTTCTTCTGTATAATCTTGTTACTCTATCCTCCTCTTCTCTCCGTTGGCTTCTCTACTCCCAATCCTCTGCTTTCCTTGTCCTCTTCTCCCTCTCCTTACCCCCATTCCCCGGCTTCCTATAACTCCTTCCTTCCCTCCTTTCCTCACGCCTTCCAGTTTGCCGCGCACACTTCCCCAAGGTGGGATTCCCGATCCATTGAGTTGCCAATAATACAGTAAAAAGGGCCATCAAGCGCTCGACCAATCAAATCTAATCAACCCACCACCCAATCACGCAACCAAGCAACCAATCACGCATTCGAACTCGTCATAATCCACGGATGACTCTACCCAATTACTCAATCCATCCATCCATCCATCCATCCATCAATCAATCAATCAATCAATCAATCAATCAAGTGGTCACTGCATAGACAATTACACCAATCGGTTAAACAAGCAATCAACCCGCCACGATGCTAATCATCCTGCCCGTTCTCTTTACAGCCACACATTGATGATCAGGTAGGGATGGTTTCTAATTCCCACCTGACTGCAACCACAGTGTACGCTGTTGCGTGACAACTGCTTCCCGGCGTCGGCCTTCCTTCCAGCTGTTGCGTGACAACTGTTTCCCGGCCTCGGCCTTCCTTCCACCGAACAGACCGCACCCTGATTGTGAATGTACACACAAACTATGGGCCCTCGCTCTACTACTCAGGAACTGTACACACTGACAATGAATCTTCCGCTAGAACACGGGACTATACATCGCCATACTTTTTTGTCTTTTGTCCATGTGGTGAGTAGTGGAGCGCCGCCCTCTCCTTCCGGCGGTTCGACACAGTCAGGATGGTAGCGCGTTGTCTGATTGGGAAGAAGACAGTCGTCCTGACTGTGGAAAGTAGCAGCTAATCACAGAGAGAGAGAGAGAGAGAGAGAGAGAGAGAGAGAGAGAGAGAGAGAGAGAGAGAGAGAGAGAGAGAGAGAGAGAACAAAGAACCTAGCCAGACAAAAAAAAAATAGAGCCTGATCAGAGAGAAAAAAAAAAACACTAACCAGACAAAAAAAAAAAGAGCCTGATCAGAGAGAACAAAAAAAAGAACCTACAGTAATAAGGGAATGAGCAGAAGCATGGACTCGATGGCGCACTTGATATCTTACTGCGATATCAGTGAGGACCTTCTGAAGTAAGTATAGTATAGGTTGCGTCGCCGTACGACGCAGCAAATGTGGGAAATGAGGAATAAGCATCTTCCGCTAAAACGAGGAAACATGCACGCGCCATAGTTTTGGTCTTTTTTTCACATTGTTTGAGAGGTGCGGCGAGGTCAGAAGAGGCAGTCTCTGCACAAAGTATTGAACTTGTGGAGTGCAGATAAAAGAAGTAAGAACCACCAGTGCCCCCAGGTCAGTGTCCACAACCTGAACTTTCACCCGTGTGTTCATCATTGATGTAGAAACGGCCGCTGTGCACCAAATAGTCGATCAGTTGATTGATTGATGGATGGACGAACTGATGAATCAATGAAAGATCAATGAAACATCAATGAAAGATCAATGAAACCAATCAATAAGTCGATCAATCAGTTGGTCGATGAACAGGAATCAATCAAGCAGGTGATGAAGTCAACCCACACAGTGATTGACTAATTAAGCAAGCGATCAAGCGATCAAATGATGGATTGAGTGAGTACAAGCAACTAGTTACCCCATCGATTGATTGATTACTCAATCGATCAACTAATGGATTGAGTGACTAATCAAGAAACCGATCAACTCATCCATTGATTGACTACTCAATCGTTCAACTGATTGATTGATTGAGTGAGTGAGTGAGTGAGCGAGTGATTGATTGATTGATTGATTGATTGATTGATTGATTGATTGATTAACAATCCATTAACATAACTCAATTGATCAACTGATGGATTGAGTGACTAATCAAGCAACCGATCAACTCATCCATTGATTGATTACTCAATCGATCAACTGATTGATTGATTGATTAACAATCAATTGACATAAACAATCAAATTGAAAACGGAAACAAAGACACACTAGATTTGCAGAACACACTAGATTTGCAAGACGACCGAGAAGTTGAGGGATCCGATGGAAATGTACGCATTACAAGGAGGACGAAGTATTACGATGTGATTAAAAAAAAAAGGAAAAGAAAAGAGAAGAAGGTACTAATTACTGTAATTTGTAATTAAGAATGCGATTTTTTATTTTATTTTTTTTAATCATAAAACGAAGGTTGGGCCAATCAACCACTGAATCAATCAACAAGTTGTCCTCCAATTGAATCAAATCAATCAATCGACCAATCAATCAACAGATTATGAAGACAGAATAGCCACTCGGTAGACCAATGTACCTTTCAGTCAACGAACTAATCAATCTATAATTAAAATTTCATGAATAATTACCATCAGCCGACTAATCAATTAACTAATCGATAAACAAATAAATCAGTCTCCCCTGTACCTCCTTATGCAGCTCCTTGTGATAACGGGCTGATCGCTAACGGATCGCTAACGGTCGCTAACGGTCCGCTTGAGGCCGTCGTTAACCTACTGTAGTACTACTTCCGTTAGCCGACTATAGCCCTTCATTTTATTTTATTTTTGCTTTTTTTTTTTACTATAGCCTTTTCAATTTCGTATGTGTCCTCAATAAGGCTACTACTCATAACATCGAAAGTTTTCAGTCTTTTTTTCTCACTTTAATTAAAAAAAAAACTGCCGCTCAGCCCCTTGCCGCACGCATCATTGGTAAAAAGACCTCGGCACAACCGTTTTTCCCACAATAGAACGCACGGTCATTATCGCTGCATCTAGACTGAAAAGTGCCCCAAATACAGCTGTAGAGACGTTACGTTCTATTCGGGTTAACCGGTAGGTAACGAGGGACTTCTGGAAGACGAGTCCATGCCACTTTTTTAGGGAATACTCCCAACAAGACTTTATCCTGGATGTATATGAACTCTCTTACAGGCAGGCATGGATGCACGTGACCGAAATTACGTCCACATGCAAGTTGGAAGAGTCCTAGTCTGAGTATGCCACTTACTCAGGCCATGGTGCAGAGAGGGGTTTCTTTTCTTTTCTTGTTTTAATATCTAATAAAGGACATACTCACAGAAAAAGGCCCTCAAAAATCCCCCCCTCCCCCCCCCCCCCCCAACCCAAAAAAAAAGGCCCTCAAAATTGCCGAATCACAAAATCAGCGGCCAGACAGAGTCCCTTTGAAAAGAGGACTCGATCTGGCCGCTCATTTTGCGACTCTGCCATTTTGAGGGCGTACTAGAGTGAGGGGCCACTCTAAAACCATCTAGTGTGTACTCTAAGACCATCTAGTGTGTACTCTAAGACCATCTAGTGTGTACTCTAAGACCATCTAGTGTGTACTCTGAGACCATCTAGTGTGTACCCTAAGATAAGACCATCTAGTGTGATGATATGACATTTTTTTCTGTTCATCTGAGTGCATCTGGATTCAAACATGGGGCTGTATTTCAACGCGCCCTGAGGGCTTTCAGAACAACAGCGCTCTCGTCTTCCACCGAACACGACGCACTCCCATCATGAACGTATACAAGCTATCTTTCCGGTCCCATTCAGAGATGATGATGATGATGATGATGATGATGATGATGATAATTATGAGGGCACGCTACTCGCTGTAAGCCCGTCAAAGGGAGAAGGAAGGGTCTATGAACAAACACAGCGAGGGCTTTGATAACAACGGGGGTTCGGTGTCCATCTTCCCGCGAAGTTCAACGCAACTCACCCTGATCGTCAATGTATACAAGCTATTTTTCCGGTCCGGTTCGGGGATGATGAGGGTAGGTTGTCTAGGGGCAAAGACGGGCGCAGAAATGTGAATCATTACCACCCAGGTAGGGGGGGGGAAACAGTTGACACACAATTTGAAGGGCATATACAACACACAGGAACGGTCGGTCGCCCCAGTTCTAAATGGCAAGAGAAAGAGTCGCAGTTGTGAATGCATACGACAGGGTACAGTTGAAAAGCGCCCGCTTTTGTCTACTATGATGCCAGAGGAAAGGTCCAGAAGCAGAGACAGAGGAGGAGGAAGAGAAGACGAGCAACAAGGAAGGAAGAAGCGGGAGGAGCTCCGCTCCAGATGAAGATCCAGACGAAGACAACGACGATGATGAGGATCGAAGAACGTAAGCGAGAGGCTGGAGGACAGAGACGATGGTGAGCCTGATGATGGAGTACGTCGTTCGCAGCGGCTGCGTATACATAGAGCGCCAGTCGTCTACTTAGTGAGCCCTGTGATTCAAGCTCGACCTGATCCCTTGCTCACGCCTCGCTCACCGCGCAACGCGGCGAAACGCAACGCAACGCGGCGCAACGCAGAGATAGCTCCTGAAATTGCCGTTGGCAGTCAGCGTGCGAAAAGCGGAAAGCGCGCGAAAAGCCGAAAGCGTGTCCATCGTGTTCGCAGGCCGTCAGGGTTGCGCTTCGCCCCCCCCCTACACATTTTTTTTTTTTTTTTTTTTTGTGCTCCTATGGACCACGGATCAGATCTAAGGGCTGCGGTATAGTTGGCAGCCCGTCAGGGGTGCGTTTTATGCCCCTGAGAACATTTTTCGTCTTAGTTCGTTATAAGGTCGTTGGAAGGCTGGAAAAACAAGGCATGGCGGTTTAGGGGGTGGTGGCATCTTATTTGAAACTGCAGGACCGGTAGCTGCCCGTGAGACCGCACGGGTTTTGGTCCACAACCACGTAGGACCGGTAGCTGCGCGTAGGAGGCCGAGGAGGCTGCAGTCCTTTTTTGAAATTGAAAAGATGCGGGTCCACTTTTCTCGAAGAATAGCAGAGTTCCTCGAATTCCTCGAATAGAAATTGTCTACCGCATGGGCGCGGGGAACGCAGCCCTAAGGTAGCCAAATCAATGAGACTAAGAGCTCGCACAAGAGAGAGAGAGAGAGAGAGAGAGAGAGAGAGAGAGAGAGAGAGAGAGAGAGAGAGAGTTTTGTTCCATTTATTGTTATGAGTGTGAGAGGGAGACAGAGAGTGAGAGAGAGAAAGAAAGAAACAGAGAGAGAGGGAAGGGGGGGGCTACCAGAGAGAGAGAGAGAGAGAGAGAGAGAGAGAGAGAGAGAGAGAGAGAGAGAGAGAGAGAGGCTGAATGGCAAAATTGAAATATGGGTCAAATTGCGTCTGCGATCTATTTCGCAGTTGGAATTATTTTTTTTATTAGTGTTTTTCCTGGAAAGATCACAACATCTACGAGTACTCCAATTTTTCAGGTTTTTTCACGCATTTTTCTGAGAGTGAAAAGTCATTGAATTTGGAGTACTCTTTAAGTTGGGCCACGCATGGCTGAGTGGCAAAAATGGAAAATGCGCCCAATCGGCGCGACGATTATTTCTCGGTCTAAATGATTTTAAAAAAATGTTCTAATATTTTTCTTAGAAAGAACACGACCTCATATATGGATTCTCAAAATTTCAGAGCACAGAAAGTCGCCAAAGGTGCCTCAACACCTGGGCCTGAGGGCCCTTACCCCAACCCCACTTCTTTTTGGGGTCCACTTCCACCCGAGGACCGGTCCTTGCTTTTTCCAAAAGTCCCGGTCATCCCAGAGCTGCCTGTAGGTAGTCCCCAATTTTGCCAATGACCGGTTCCCCCCAAACTTTTGCCCCCTAAAAACCCACTTTGCGTCCTGGTCGCCCGCCGCCAAAAATGTGATTGTCTACCGTGTGGGCGCGGGGAACGCAGCCCTAAGGTAACCAAAGCAATGAGACTAAGAGCGCACACAAGAGAGAGAGAGAGAGAGAGAGAGAGAGAGAGAGAGAGAGAGAGAGAGAGAGAGAGAGAGTTTTGTTGCATTAATTATTACGAGTGTGTGAGAGAGAGAAAGAAAGAGAGATAGAGAGAGAG